CCTTCAGCTGCTTTTGGCTTCTGTCGCTTGCCTGAAATCTCACATTTAGAGCCTTTCTTCTTTTCTTTTCTTTTTTCTTTTCTTTTCTTTCCTTTCCTTTCCTTTCCTTTCCTTTCCTTTCCTTTTCTTTTCTTTCCTTTTCCTTTTCTCTTTTCTCTTTTTTCTCTTTTCTTTTCTCCTCTTCTCTTTCTTTCTCTCTCTCTCTTCCTTCCTTCCTGACTTCCTGCCTTCCTATAAAACTCCTGGGGGACTGGGTAGCATATTGTCCGTTACTCATGCTTCCGTATCACTTGACTCAAACGAGACTTCGCTCCAGGTGCACTGAAGATGTGAGAGCATGGGAGACAAACTTGTCCACTTCACTTTGGTTGTGCGCTGACACCTGCTTAAGAGCATGTGGGTGTCTTGGGGAGGGAGTCCTCTTCTGGGCTGAGGGTCTACTGTAGGGCTAGTAAGACCTCACTTTTTGATGATGATTAGTGAAGGTCAGGGATGCCCCACCTACGTGGATAGTGGAGAGTGGTATAGGGAGGCAGGACACGGCGTCAGTCAGAGAGCCACCCTAAGGGGACAGCTCTTGTTGCCACACCCTCAGATCAGCTGGGAGAAAGAGTTCCAGGGTTTGTAATGTGTGAGAATGTTTTCTGCACTCTCTGTTGCCCAACTGGAAGATTAAGTGGCCAAAAGTATCCAGGCATGACCCAAGGGGTGTGGCTGCCTTCTGAAATGACTTTTCAGTTCCCACTGACCTTTTGAAGGAGGAGTACACGACAGTTTCTTGTTGAGCTTGTCTTTACTTACTTTTTTTTTTTTTTTTTTTTTTTTCGGTTATAAGAGTTTAAAAGTCTTAACCCCATTGCCATTGTGAGGGAGGGTCAGGATTCTTAATTCATTCACATGACAATTTTATTCTGTACACTCAGTTTGGGCCAGATCCTGTATTAAAGCTGAGGATAAAATAGTGATCAGAACAAGGTCCCTTCCCCCCAAGAACCTTACAATTTAGCTAGAGACGGAAAGTAAACAGAGATTTTAATATGCCATGGGAAGTGTTCTGGGAAGGAAGTATAGGCCAAAGTGGGTACACAGGAAACGGGCTCTCAACCATAACTTGGTGTAGAGGATAGGGAACGCTTCCTGGAGGAGGTGACATCTAAGCTGATACTTGAGGGATTTGTAGGAGGTAGCTAGCTGGGTTGAAGGGCAGATATGGAGGATGTTCCAGACAGAGGGCAGTGTCCACTTAGAGATGGGGGAACATGGCGCTTTTGAAGAACCTTGTAAAATGTGTAAGTCAGCTTACCTGTTTTAAGATGAGAGTCACCATGGCTGACATAGATTAATGTTTTGCTCAGGCAGAGCCTGCATTTGAATACAGGCTATCCCCATGTGTCCTGTTGCCTCATAGCACTGAGAACAGGAATTAGGTCAGACATATGATTACCATATCTTTTCTTTTTTTAATGTTTATTTATTTTTGAGGGAGAGAGAGAGAGAGAGATACAGAATCCAAAGGAGGCTCTAGGCTCTGGGCTGTCAGCACAGAGCCCGTCGTGGGACTCGAACTCATGAGCTGAGAGATCACGACCTGAGCTGAAGTCAGACGCTCAACCGACTGAGC